TGAATGTAACCTTGGTGACCAAGTCACCAGGAAGGTTTGGCAAGGGTAATATGACACTCTAATCACTTATTTTTTTGTAAATAAATTGGTATCCTGGTATAAGCCCACCTTTTATTAATACTCATTGAGCCAGTCTTCTGAAATCTGACCTTAGGACTATAACAAAATGTGAAGTTTGGGCTGGAATAATCAATAATCAGCTTTTTATTTTTTAACCTCTTAAGTTTCGATTTACCTACTGTGCTATGGAAGCTGTATAGAGACTAGCAGGGAGTTTAGCTATTCCTTTCAGGACTCTAGATTGCTGCCTCCTACTTAATATGAACTGTCACTTCTTAGTAAGCACAGGTTTGAGAGGTTAAGAACCAAGTGAGATTTAAAATTACATAGTTTCCCCTGGCTGCCTTCACTTCTTCCACATTATATACCAGATTTGACTGATGTGCACGAGAGGACATTAAAAGATGACACACTGAGAAGAATGTTCATAAAGTGTTAACTCAGAACTCAATATGTAGCACATATGGAAGAGAAAAACGGGTTGTTTTTTATTTAAAAAACAGAACAATGGGACACCTGGGTGGCTCAGTTGGTTAAGTGTCCTGTCCGACTGTTGATTTCAGCTCAGGTCATGATCTCAGGGTTGTGAGATCCAGCCTCATGTCGAGCTCTGTGCTGGGCGTGGAGTCTGCTTGAGATTCTCACTCTCTCTCCCCCTCTCCCCCTCTGCCCTGCCTCACTGTTCTCTTGCTTGCTCTCTTAAAAAAACAAAACCAAAACAAAACCCCAAAAACAAAAAAACACCTAATTCTTGTCTTTTGTTTAGAGAGGTAATATATATAAGATTAAGGAGAATGCCTTTTCTCCTCCAAACCTATTTCTATTTCATTTCTGGTTTATAGCTCTCATTTGATTTGTTTCCATTTTAAATGTCTGATCACATTTTAAAGCATTTAATTCAGAAAGATTATATATTATCGGAAAACAAGATTGAGTCTTAATTTGTAAAAGATAAGGGTTGAGAGAGTATTATGTGACTAAAAAGTGAAGTGAAGTGATTATTTGATTAATATTCAAAACTTTATAAAAATACCGTGGGTAAAAAAAAATCTATTTTAAAAGCTTCATTTTAAAATGTTATATTTAGGGGCGCCTGGGTGGTTCAGTTGGTTAAGCAACTGCCTTCAGCTCAGGTCATGACCCTGGGGTCCTGGGATCGAGTCCCGTGTCGGGCTCCCTGCTGGGTGGAAAGCCTGCTTCTTCCTCTCCCTCTGCCTGCCACTCCCCCTGCTTGTGTGCGCTCTCTCTCTTTCTGTCAAATAAATAAAATCTTTAAAAAAAATAAAATAAAATGTTATATTTACACATTTGGAGGGAGCATTTTTATAATAACTTTAAAAAGAAAAAAATTTTTAACTTCTTAATGCTTATTTACTTTAAATAAATATGTGTTGTGCATGCTGGGAAGTACAAGCCTTTCTTGGCTTTTTGTTATCCCTATTATTTGGGGGTACTTTCCCCAAACAACTGTAATGAGTGGAATTGAGGTGCATCTTTCTGTGTTTTTTGTTTTTTGGTTTTTTTTTCAAACTTCAGTGCTTTGAAGAGAATTTCTGTGTAACTTCTTTTACTGATCCCAGAACATGGCATGTATACTCCCATTTCTCCTCTTCAGTCCTTCCTTCTCCCTTTTGAGAGTCACCTCTTCCCATCTTCCCATTCAAAGCCAGCTCCTGGACCTTTCTACTCTGGGCTGTAGTCATTTTCCCCTTTTCCAGACTTGAAGTCTGTGGTCACCCCCTCTGGTGCAAGCACGGTTTTCCCTGTCTGCTGGAATTTCATCCCTCTCCCATACCTACATCTCTGCTTCTGTTGTCCTTCTATGCAGAATGAGTCACATCCCAATGAGAAACAGTGACTGCCCACTGATGGAGGTTGCCTCACTTCCCTTACCCCTACTAGACAGTCACGTGTCCAAGCCCCTCAGCCGGTAGAGCTAGAAATCCCACTGGAGGTCGGGGAGGGAACAGGGCAGGTGAACCCCACTGATCACATGACTGACTTCTCCTCCAAGCCTGGATAGGCATGTACAAGCCGAGCAGAGTTTGCACCTGTATCCTCTGGCCTGTCCCAGTCTGCTTCCATGAGTATCATTTTCCATTCTTTATTCTAATTTTCTTAACACTTCTTATTGTCAGTCATTGACTATTTCTAGCTCTTGGCTTTACATAAATCTCAGGTTCCCGAACTCATTAGATTTCTCTCAGAACTTTCCAAGCTGTATTTTGGTTTCAGCAGTGTCCTCTAAACAAAATCACCATTCATGAGAAAGGGGTGAAGGTAAGCCTTTTGGCAAGAATTGTGTAGTCATTCACTAGTTTACCCTATTCATGCAGCAGCTTGATTATCAAAATCTGTCCTCAGCCTTGAAGGCTCAGTGTGGTGAATGTGCATGTCTGTAGAGTTCAGTGTTTTAAAACTGTATCCTTTATTCAGCATATTGCTAATTACTTTTTCCTACTTATGGCAGAGGTAGAACTTTCTACCTTGTCAGAAACATGTGCCTGTGGTGGTAGCATCATCATTGATCAATATGATAATTTGTAGTAAAGCCTATAATCAAGTGAACTGATTGTCAAATATATACCGTTTTTTTTTCCTCTCTTCTACATTCCCTCCTAATTAACCTTCATCCACCTCGTAGACCGTGGTCACACTCAGATTGCCAAATATGTATCAGGAAGATTGATACTCAGTTTTTTTAGAAAATACACTGTACTCAGAATTCTGTTCCACTGATTTCTTATGAAATTACTGGTTTTCCTAAAAGGGATTGATGCTTGGAGGTGATATGAGTAGAGAAGGCAGCTGTCTGCGTGGATTGTCCCTAAAAAATCCTGACAAAAAGGCCTGGTAAACAGCTGTGTTCTGGAGGATTTTTGTCTTTTTCAGCCAATCAAGATCGTTGTTGATAGCTATCTGGGATGCTCCTGTATTAAAAAGGAATTTCAGAACATTATAGCTTGCTATAATGGATTAGTGGCAAATTCCTCTGCGGTAGGAAGTGACAATGTCTATATTCCCTCCACGTATCTGTCATACTTCAGTCCAGCCTTCATTTTACTGACAAGGAGACCAACATCTGGAGAACTGAATTAACTTCAGTGGGATCACAGTTAGTGGGTGAAATTTTAGGCACGATTTTGGTTTCCTAGTTTTTCTTCTTGGGTGTTGTTCCCTGAACTGAATAAAGTACATTGTGTGTGTCTTTCTTGAAAGATTTTTTAGTTCTTGTATAAAGGAAATGCAGTGACTTAAAAAATATTTACTACTGCAGTAGGATGTTATTAAGATGATACATTAAGATGTATCAGAATATCAACTAGTTATTATTTTGCCCAACTGATGATTTAGTTGTCTAAAATCTGATCACATTTGAATGTACAGACAAAACATTTGACTTTACAAAGGTGGGAACCTGACCCAAAATATGGTAAGTTGGGTACTTCTTTACTGAACATTTAAAAAAATAATCATCCATGTTAATGCAGAATGAGAAACATAGTATGTCTCTTGTAGGAATGATTCTAGAACGTCCCTGGAGATAAGAGTTATAATTTATTCAGTTAGTTTTAAATTCAAAAAGTATAATTTAGTGTTTCAGTGGATGGTTAAGTACTTCCACTTTTTAAAAGTCAGATTCTTGTTAAAGTACACTTACTTAAAACTCCTTAAGCATAAAGTTTTCACACATGTACACAGTGTATAACCACTACCATAGTCAATATAGAACACTCCCGTCACCCCAGAAAGTTCCCTTGTGTCCCTTTCTCTAGCAACCACTGAGCAAATAATTTTCACTTTCCAGAAAGTCACATAAATGGACTCATACAGTATGTAGCATTTTGAGTCAGTTTTATTTCTCTTAGCATAATGTTTTTGAGATTTATCCATGTTGTTGCATGTATCTTTAGTTCCTTTTTATTGCTGACAACGATTTCGTTAAGTATCCCACAGTTTGTTTAGCCATTCACTAGTTGATAGACATTTGGGTCATTTGCAGTTGTGAATTACTGTGAATAAAGCTACCATAAATACTTACATACAGATCTGAGGCTACTTGTTTTGGTGTTGGGTAAATATGTGGGAATGGGATTGCTGAGTTGTGTGGAGTGTGTTAATTTTATAAAAACTGCTGGTGTGTTTTCTAAAATGGATATGCCGTTTTTTTATCCTCAATAGCTGTGATTGAGAAGTACTGTTGTTTTTCATCTTTGTCAGCAGTTGGTATTGTTAGTCTTCTAAATTTAACTTTTAATTAAAATGTCATTTTGGTTTTAATTTGCATTTCTCTGATAACTAGTAACGTTGAACGTATTTTCAGGTACTCATATACCATCTTTATATCTTGTTCAGTGAAGTGTCTTGAAGTTTTTGCCAATTTTTAAATTGAGTAGTCTTTTTTTTTGGTGCAAATAGGGTGGTTTTGTTAAAGCACGGGGACAGGACCCATGGGCAGAAGGAACTGCAGAGTTATCTTCTTGAGCTTTTAGAGTTCTTTATGTGTTCTGGATTCAGGTGCTTTCTCAGACATGTTTTACAAATATTTTTTCCCAGTCTATGGCTTGTCTTGTTTTTCTTGGCATTATCTTCAGAAGAGTAGAGATTTTTAATCTTCAACATTTTTGTATCTTTATCTTCTTAGTTATAAAATCAACTCACATTTATTATAATAAGTTAAAGAATATTAAAATATATTTTTCCTTTCGGATCTACCTTTTTGGTATTTAAACACTAATACTCTAGTGAAAGAGAAAATTTTAATGTTATGTGCAAAGGTAAAATTTCTGCTACAAGAAACATATTTTGAAAGTTTCCTTTGTATCCTAGAAGTAAAATTTCTCTTCATATTTAAGGGGGTAATTAGAAAAAGAAAAAGAAAAAAGAATAACCTGTTAAAATATTCCAGTACAATCTGTTTTGCTTTTCTTTTATTTTAGTGTCATCCAGGATAAATTCTGTGGGATTATAAACATCTCAGTGGAAGGCCTACATGATGTCATGACAGAAGATCCTGAAACAGGAACTTATAAAGAGTAGGTGGATCATTTAATTAATTGCACTTGATCTGGGGTGGAGTGTGTGTGGGGGGGTAATTAATTATGTCCTGCATGATTTTTGTTCACTACTACCATATAAACCCAGTGTGGTGACTGTTTAAATTTTGTCTTTTATAAAGAAAATTTTGTATTTGTTTTGCCTCTCATTAGTTTGATCTTGAGATCACCTTTAATTTATTAAAGTGAAATGACAAATTGGACTTCTTTAGTTTAATAATTTTATGATTTGACATTAGGTTTTTATGTTAGCATGTAAATGCCTTTTTAAAGATGTTTTGAATATATTTTTTTCAATTAACAAAGTTCCCCTGCCCATTAGGCAAGTTATGGGGAAAAGAGGATTGGTAAACATCCTGTATTTGTATTTGCCTGATAGAAGCATCCCTGGCACCTTTACATATTAGAGTCACTTGGTACTTGACCAGTTTTAAGAGAATGGTTAAAATGACATTTTTTGTGAGAATAGTTAAAATCATGTCATACTTCTAGAACTATTAATTTGAAATTTCATTTCATTGCATCCTTTTATAGGTAGTAGAATTGCTGTACCTTTTCTCTTATTATTGTTAATAAAGGGCATGTGTTAAATTACGATAAGCAAGACTTAATGAGATTTGAGGCCGCTTGACTTTACATCAATAGTATACTGAGCCTGTTTTCTTTGTTCTTTAAAAAGAATCTGTAGAATGGGGCGCCTGGGTGGCTCAGTCGTTAAGCATCTGCCTTCGGCTCAGGTCATGATCCCGGGGTCCTTGGATAGAGCCCC